AATTTTACAAATTCAAGGAATTTTAAATTCTTGGTATTTGAATTACTTTGATTTCAATTTCTATTATTCTTAAAATATTTTGTTTGGATGAGTCAATTCAAATTTCTTAAATTTTAAATTGTTAGGTTGAATATGATAATTTTATTCCATCATAGTAAAATTGATTTTAAAAATATATTTATATGTTGAGATTTTTAAATTAAATTTTATAAAAATAAATATTAATCCATTTTTAAATATTTATTAATTTTAAAAATTAATATTAGATAATATTTAATAATTTTAGCAATTAATATTAGATAATGTTTAACAATTTTAAAAATATTTTTGAATATCTAATAATTAAAAAAATGAAGAGATAAGATAAAATATATAGATGAAATAAGAAAAATAAATATGAGGAATTTCAAATTCTCCCATTTTTGGGAGAATTTGAAACTCTAGTATTTTAATAAATTTCACAAATGATTAGATTTCAAATTATTTGTAAATTCCTCGTCCAAATAAAGCATTTCACCTCAAAGAATTTAAAATTCTTCAAATAAAGGAATTACCCCATATAAATTCATCATCCAAACACATCATTAAAAAAATTTAAGGATGACCGAGGAAGAAACTGAGATCGATACCTAACCAAAGATGAGGTCAATCACCTTGTTTGCGGCTTTTCGTGTTTTCAAAGGTAAAACAAATCATGGTCAAAATTTGCAGGTAACCCCGTATTTCTCTGTGGGTCGCTTTGAAAATAGTGATCCACTTCTATTTGCTGTAAGTCATAGGTTTATGGTGTGGAAAGTTCCAAAATACGACTTAAGTACAAATTTGTATCTTATAATTTTTGCTTTAATTTAAATTATTTAACATACAATTTAATTTGGATTTTTTTACATTAAATGATAATTTATAAACTTTTTATATATTTTTATTTTTATTTTTGGATACTTTGAAAAGTGTTCTAACAACAACCAAACAAACACATCATTAATTGAAAATTTTCTTTGCCGATGAAGATGATGACTATAGAATGAAATTTTGAGTTAATATGAATAGCATCTTATCTATGAAAAAAATACTATTTTTATTTTATATTTGCAAACATACTAATAATCATTAATTTAAATAGTTTCACATTTCAGAATTTTTAATTTAGATATAAAGATGTAATTGGATATACTATTTACTTCGTTAGAGACTTATATAATGAGAAGTTATATCAGTTTATTAAAAAAATTACATATAATTATAATATTGGATAGATTTAATAAAAAAAATTGTTACAAATAATTTTTTTTACATTTAAAATTATTTTTGTATAACTTATCAATTTAGTCTTATTTTTCCTATAGGGATATATCATCCTTACTATAAATAACTCCATCATTTTTTTTCAGTAAAAAATTCACTAAAATTTAACCGCTAGAAATATGAAGAGTGGAACAAAGGTAACTTTAAATCTTTATATATTAAAGCACCCCCACAATATTAAAAAAAAAAAAAAGGTTGCCGAAAGAAACAATTTATTTTATATGAGACTCACACAATTTATCTTCAATGGTACAAATTTTGTATTTGAAACAATTTTACTATAACCTGTAGGTGTTGGGAGAGCAACTCCAATTGAATATGATATAAGAGGCTTTTATTTCATAATAATCATTCCAATTTTTATTATAAAAATACACTTGTGGTTTCAACTAGTATTCACGAATATTTGTTAAATATTAAAAAAATTGAAACATTTTGTTTTACAAAATTACAGGATCAAAGAGGGGTGAATAAGTTTTCTTTCTTTTTTATTTAATTAGATCCCTTAATTCTAAAGAAAAAAATACTAACGTTAACACATTTAATTCTTCTAACTAATTTTTTTAATAAATATGAATTATAATTATTAGTGTAAAAGAGACACCGTATATATCCGTCTATTTTTTAAATATTTTAAAAAGTAAATAATTAATAATAAGTTTTTTGAATAAATATAATTATAAAGGTGATTTTTCAAAAACAGTAAAAAGTGAAAGAGTAGTTTGAGAGGTGACTGTAAAAATAAAATGGTAAAAAAAATGTGTACCCCAAATTGAATAATTCCTTTTATTAATAATATAGATAAAAAAAATTAAAACTAGAGAATTAATAAATAATTTTTTATATTAAAAGTTATGTTTTAAGCCTTATTGAAAGTCATGTTAAAATATACCAAAATGAATGATAGAATTATATTGATAATATTTTTAACAAAATTATATATTTTTATTTTAATGAATATTTTAAAATAAAACAGATTTTATCGTGAACCACTAGACATCACAATTGATAACCTTTACATTAATCTAAAATATATATCATTTCAATGTAGCTCCATACTTTGATACTACTATCTGTTTCCCTCCCAACAATTCCATTGTCACCTATTACATGGTGCCGGAGTTTCGTAGAGTATCTTACACCATTGCTGGAACATTAAAGACCACTCAACAATCTATCATATATGAATCTATGTTCGACGAATCTATTAATAAACAACTCCCCGATTTTTTTTTCTTCCCAAAATTCAAAACTTTTAATATACATATATGAATTGTTATTTTTTAAAGGAATTTTTATTATAAAAATATAATATTCAACTATTGTTTATTTTTAATAAAATAGTTTATTTACTTTTATAGTTTTATAGTAAAATAATTAATGATATATACTTTTGACAAATATTTTATTTTATAATCTTCATTGCAGAGGTAATTGTATTTTTTTTACACAAATGTTTAAGTATCATCAATTTTTTAATAGCCCTTTCCTTTTACTGTTCATCATTGCAGTTTTAAAAAATACACATGATTACATTTGCAATTAAATGTTTTTATATTAGAGTTTCTTTTATGTTGATTTTATGAAAAACAATGTGAGAATTTAAAGTTATTTATAAACTATTCTCAATCGAGTAAACTTATGAATACTCTATATTTTTTTTATAACTGTGGAATAAAAAAATTAAATAAAATAATGTTTATACCCATTTTAATTATAAATTACAATTTTTTAATGGGGTGTAAAATTAATGATTTGACGACTATTATGTAATCTTATGTATTTATAAATATATATTTAGGCCGTGGTGTATACACTTGGCATGCATAATATTAATATAATTTGTATATTAAATTAATTTTATTATTATTAAAATTAACGTGACAAAGGAGAGAGAGAGAAAAAGAGGAAGAAAAGAAAAATAATAAAATAAGTGATGCTATCACTAGAAAAATCGCTTGTAACAATAATTTACATGATAGGAGACACGCTGTACACAGTAGCTTAGTCAAAGAGGAAAGAGTTACCTCAAAGGGTGGTTAATCTCCTCGCTACGTTGGAGGCACCTCAAAGGGTGGGATAACTGACCCTAAAATTTAACGCGACTGCATACACAATGCAGGATTCGAACCCCTGACCTTCCTTAAGCGTGGATCAACCCTTACCGCTGAACCACACGCTTGGAGTTAAGAGGAAAGAGTTTTGGGAGAGTAATGCATCATAACATTTTAAAACTTAGATTAATCTATTGGATCCAAATTGAAAATTTGTCCAATTATGAAAGGCTACTAAAAAAGAAAAAGTAGTGTTATGACATAGAAGATAAATTATAAATTTATGCTTCATTTAATTTTGAATATAAACAATAAAAAACACAAAGTACATATTTGATAATTTTAAATATAAACAAATATTAACTAAATTTATTCTATTTAATATTATTATTTCAAAATTTTATTTAATTGAAATTATATTTTTAATGATTATTTTTTCTTCTTAATATAGGTTTTAAAAAGAGATGATTTAAAAAATAAAGTTATTTTTTAGATGAGATCACTGCAATTAAATAATACTCCGTTTGTCTCATAATTATTATTTTTTAAAGATTTTTATGAATAAATTGAAAATAATAATGAATGTATTACTTTTGGGTATAATTTTACTAAAATAATCCACTTTAATAATAAATACATAACTTTTAATTGTGGTGATTAAATAATATATGAAAAGATAAATTAAAAAAAATATTAATATTAAATTACATGGTGAGAGTAATGAACCAAAAAAAATTGCATGTTTAGAACATCATTCATTTTAGTACTTTTTCAAATGTTAAAATTATAATTATTTTAAAAAAAATTATTACACTTGTTCATATATATAATTTAATTACTTAATTCACTAAATTAAAAAAATAGTTAATTTGTTTGTAATAATAAATAGATCCTTTATATATATATATATTTTTTTTTCTTTTTTTCTTTTCTTCTTCTTATTAAACTACCTATCGTTTTTTTAATTAATATTTATATATCTTTTAACCAATTAAAGTACATATCTCATATTATTCATCTCTAAATTAATTATAATATATGTTTTTTTTTTAAATTTATAACCAATATATTTGACTACATTAAGAAAATACATTTTAATTAACAAAAATTTAGTTTAAACATAATAAATATGTAAGATAATATGAATTGAGTCTTATATAAAAAAAATTATTTAAATTTTTATAATAAAAATAGAGATAATATTAACTTTATTTTCTTAATTAATATGCTATTTTTTATTACTTATATTTAGAATAAGATAAAGTGAATATTATGAACATCATATTAATTGAAGTGCCACCCATTTTAATAAATAATGGACCACCTAAGATAGAGTACTTTAGTGCCTCATTTATTTTTTTCCCTTTTATTGTTCACTACCTATCTATCCTATTGGCTATGCCACTATAATTTGAATGGAATTTAAAAAAGTAAGCCATAGAATTCAACATCAAAATTCCAAACGTGCCGGAGCCTATAGACTGGAACCTAATTTACCAAACCAACAACCACAACTAGCCAACCATTAAATTCTTCTTTCCTTCTAACATAAAATGTCCAGGTTCATTGAACCTAATTCACTTTACTCGATTTTTTTTTCCCTTCTAAATTTTAGGTAATTCTTTCTGGTTTCTCCAATTTCAATCACACGCTTGAGTCAAGTGGTTTGCACCTGCACTGACAACGATACCAATTGGATATCGTCCAGGTTCAATGTATCAAATCCAAGCAGCATTAATAGTATTCATTAATACAAGTCTAAATTTAATTAAATTAAAATAGAGAAAAAAAAACATATTACCCCCTTATTTATAACACTCAAATTAAAACAATTAATTCATCTCTTGATATATTAATTATTTGTAGATTAAAATATGTTTTTTAATTTAATAAAATATATTAATTATAAAATTTTTAAGAGATGTATATTTTAATTGTTGGCCAAAAGAGTAAAGAATAAGACATGAATTTAGTTTTATTAAGAGAAAGATAAGTATGGAGTAAGAGAAAAATAATATATATAAATAAAAGAAATATATTATTATTAAATTAATTAAGTGTTTTGAATAATGAATATTAATATGTTAAGATGACACTGAGAGCAGGGCACGTGAGAATGATGTTGTGTTGCTGGAGCACAGCAAGGCGAGGCCGTTGAATCCGCGTGCCAGGCTTACACCATAAATACCAATCTTTCTAATGCGGAATGCCTCACGCCTTTATCCGAGACAAAGAGGGAACAAGAGCAGATAGAAAGAGAGGAGGAACCATTGTAACCCTAATTTATTTGCTAAACCCTAAGCGTTTAGCATTTCCTTTTCCTCTCTTTTTACCTCTCTTCTCCCTCCTAATCCTAACCTAAAAAGCCTTTCCATTCTCATTTGCCCGCTCGGATCCCAATGTAAGATTTCCCTTTCCTTTTCACCCATTTTTCCTTTTATTTTTTTCTTCTAATTCCCTAGTTAATCAATATCATAAATGCTGAGTCTTGATGGTTCTGTTCCACAATGAAATGCTTCGGATCTAACATATTTGTTGCTGCACTTCACCACCACGAATGTGCTGTTAATTTAAGCTTAAAATATTAATTAATTTTGTTTATTTCAGTTTAGTTTTGTCATTGTCATTTCTTCTCATACGTTCATTTTCTGAATGTTGACTGATTCTGGATGTTTTCTCAGAAACCATGGTTTTCTGGGTTTTTGGCTACGGTTCACTGGTGTGGAACCCAGGGTTTGATTTCGATGAGAAGATTGTCGGTTTCATTAAGGATTACAGACGCGTCTTTGATTTAGGTATGGCCCTTCCTCACGTGCCGTACCTTGTTGAATTTACATAGTTGCCACTGTTGCTTAGACATTTAAATTTAATTTCGTTTTCGCAGCGTGCATTGATCACCGGGGAACCCCTGAAAAACCTGCAAGAACTTGCACATTAGAACAGAAAGAAGGGGCTATTTGCGTAAGTGCATGTGTTATTTCTATTGACTCTGGTAGCTTTAGGTTTGCCACCCAACATGTATAATTAATACAAATTTGTTTTTTTTAACTATTATTTATTGCTTATGTCTTGGCTCTTGATGGAGCATTGTATATCTTGCCGTGTTTAAATTCTGGTATGTTGATTTTTCTTAAAATTTTTTCAATCTTTCTGCAGTGGGGAGCTGCTTATTGTGTTCGAGGAGGTCCTGAAAAGGAAAAGCTGGCTATGCAGGTAATTTTGTTTTTCACCTTAGTTTGTCACCAAACTACTAGTAGCTATGACCCGAATGCAACTTGTAACAATTTTGGAGTCTTAATAGTGGGTGCCCTTTTTGTTTTCTATTTTGTTTAATTTTGGGGCATTCGTTAGTAATCTCTACAAACCATAATTTCATGTCCTATGAGGATTCTTTGGCCTTTACCCAAGATCCCTGGTTTATAGTTCCACTTTTATAAACGGCTTCCAGTTTGTGGCATTTCATTAGTGATTTCTAGTAAATAAGCATCGTACACTTTTAAAACATTCCTAGCAAATTTATGTACTTTCGGGCTTCAACCAACCGGTCACTCTTTTGTTGTGTAGTATTTGGAGCGACGAGAATGTGAATATGACCAAAAGACTATCGTAAGCTTCTTCAAGGTGGGTTACACCAATCATCAAGTTTTTTTTTCCCACTTACTTGCAAGTGATTGTTATTTTAATATTTAATTAATAATCACTACTTCTAACTTGCCATCTTTTCTTTAGGAAGGAGATTCACTGCACCCTACTTTAACTGACGTAATAGTGTAAGTTATAGACATCGTTTATGAATTTCTTTAGCTTATTGATTATATATACAAGTGCTTGTTTGGGGATATAGTATTTTTCGGAAATAATAGCTTGTTTTTCACAGAAAGAGGCAAAAATAAGCTATTATTTTTTCAAAATAAGTTTTAATGTTGAATCAAAGATGCGCTAAGTTACATAATTGTTTTGATCATACTTATGAGGACAAGGACGAGTTTGCTAATAGATATCATATCAATCTACAGATTCACATCTACTCCAGACAAAGTTAACAACAAATATTACTTGGGACCTGCCCCTCTGGATGACATGGCCTGGTATACATTTTTCTCCCCATTCTTTTTTATGTGGAAGTGATCTATCCGTCGGTTCCGCTAATCTTTGTTTAACCGTTCAGGCAAATAGCAACTGCTTATGGTCCTTGCGGAAACAACAGAGACTACCTTTTCCTTCTAGAAAAGGCCATGTATGATATCGGTAAGTTATCTCCCTAACTAGTACATAATCTAGTTTCACATTGAAATTTGTCAGCACTTTGTTGCTTATATGCATTGTGCTGAGTTAAGAGGTTTGATGTGCAGGCCATGAGGACGACCTAGTGATAGAGCTTGCCAATGAAGTTAGGAAAGTACTTGGTGTGGGAAATGTAGTATCAAAGGAGAAGAAATCGGTTGGACCAGCACAACTTGCTCACCCTCCTCACGTACCGATTCCTTCTCGTCAACTGCACCCAATGCCAGAACCTATTGCATTGGATAGTTGAGGAGCCGGATTTGACAAAAACTGACGGACGCTGAGTTCTGCGACTAAACTGATTTACTGCGGATCCTGCTAACCCTCATTCAATTTTCGATACATCATACAGCTATCTCACTTATCCTAGCTTTAGCGGCTGCTTCCATTCCCATGAGACATTGCTTGAATTCAGTGAGACGAATTGGAATGTTGACTGATTTTGCACTATGTTATAATTGAAAAATTAAGTTCTGTTTTGAGTAAGTTCTTGTCTATTATCAATTGGTGTCGCCTTGGTCATATGGACGGTGGAATTAATTTATTGTTTGCTATGTTACGATGGTAAATCTGTGTTTGGGGATCATGATATTTTTGGAATACTTGCAATAAGTCAATCATGGTTCACTCCCTTAGTTCTCTATTGCAAATTTGCAAATATTTTTTATACATTTTTAAAAAAACTAGTAAAATTAGTTAATGTGATAAGCGAATTATATGTTTAAGAAAAATAGAATATGGGTAGAATATATAAGAAAAAAAGGAAAATTCATTCCAGTTTAATGGTCATACGAATGAAATAGATTTTTTTATAAAATCAATCAAATAGAAATGATTTTTTTAATTTATTAATTATAAAAGTCAACAGATTATATAACAAGTAAAGTCTACTGCACAGCAACACTCATTTTCTCAACACATTATGGCAGTCATATGTTTCAGGGAAAACTAGTAATTACATCCGCCATGAAGTGCGAGATTTATTAGTGTAAAGTAAATTTAATATTTGTTCTTATATGTTGAGATTAATTATTAGTTAAAAATATCAAAATTCAAAGAAAATAATAATGATGAATGTTGAACACTAATCGGATTGGGCCGAACTAAAAACGCTAATTGAATTGATTAGAGTAAGATTTTGAATGTTGTGCCATATTTCGAATTAATTTTGACCTAAATTGATCGAGAATTCAAAGTAGAGGTTGGAATGGGCCTAACAACCTCGATCCATGATGAGAGGAGTTGGAACAGACTAAACGGAAGTAGGGGTGAAGAAAAGGTTAATGGTTTTTAGAGAGCTTGAAAATCATAATTTATGGAATAATGAATCTTAAGAGTTAAGATTACAAAGAATATCTATCATCGATTGGTTTGATAATAAATGTTATAGAATAGTTATATAAATCAATGTTTTTCATCTCTAGTTAATAAAACTTTTTGCAAAAACTTTAGTTATTTATCTCATCAAATAAATTATTGAGTAATATTATTTTTTACAGCATTAAAACCTTTTTTTTTTTTTTTTGAAAAGCACCGATAGATAAATGCTTACATAAATTTTGTGCACGAAGGAAGTATAATTCAATTGATTAAACAAGTGCAATTCGCTATTATGTTAATTAATTTTTTATATTTTATTTTTATATGTCGACCTATTTTAAGAATAAAATAGTATTTTTAAGTTGTGATTTCATATCTAAGGTGAAACATTGAATCATGTTTTTAATTAAAATAAATAAATTATTTATATCGGCAACTTTCGAGATATATTAATTTAAATTGTGAAAAGATTATGAGATATGAAATAAAATGAAATGCAATGCAGCGATACTTATTCTTATTATCTAAATTATTTAAAATGAGATTTAATGAAATAAAACCTAATTAATTTTTTTATATTCAATAAATTAAAACTTACACCTCATTGGTATTCTCATTCTCTCTATTGTCTCGATTAGACACTCAAGGTATTTTTTTATTACTATTATTTAGATGTGCATTTTTTGTATATTATCTCTCACAATTAGACCACTTTTCTCCCTAAGCTATCTCAGTTGTCTATGTTTATTACAGTAATTTATTATTTTTTGTCTTCATTTATAAATTAAATTTCAATATTTTAAAAGATATTTTTAATAATTAAAACCAACATTATATCACAATTTAAAATGGTTTATTATAAATCCAAAATATAATGTAAAATTTTAAAAATATTTATCTATCGTAAATTTTAATTTTAATTATAATATAATTCATACACTTCAAAGTATTTATTTTTATAAATTTTAATTAAAAATTTAAATATTTATTCTGTGCAATACATGGAGTAAAATATTGTTGTACACAATTTCATTTCATCAAATACTTCTATTTTTATTTCACCTAATTTGAGATATGTAAACAAAACCTTAATTCACATTATAAAAAAAAAATATTCAAAAGAATGATAGGATAGGATAATTTTGTTCAACTACAGTCATTTAAAAATTCAAATATAGTATAATGTTCAAATTTCAAATTTTTTTTTCATAAAATAAAATATTTTATTTTTGTTATTTTTATAAATTTTATAACATTTTATTCCCCTCAAGATATAGTACTTTTATAAAATTAATTTTGTAGAAATAACATATAATAATTCAATTTTAATATAAAGTCTTTTAATAATTTTTAAAATTATATTAAGTTTAATATTTTTAAAAATTTATTTAAAGATAAAAATCTTATAATA